CCTGCCACCCGGCCCTGGCCCGCGTCCGGGACCCCCGCTCCCCGCCCCTCCCCGGCAAGGGCCGGGCGGGGGTGGGCGGGGCGGGGCGTCTGAGTCCCGCGGTTAGTGGGTGTGGGAGGGTCCGTGGGCGAGCGGGCGGGGAGGGGCGCCCACTGCACCCCGGCCTGGGTGTGCATGGGGGCCCCGGAACGAAGGGCGCCCTTGCCACTGGCGACCCCGTGGGCGTGCGATCGGGTCCCAGCTGCCCTTCCCGGGTCTGTCCGCGCTGGCCCTTGCTCGGTCTCTGGCCGCATCATCTCTCGGGACTTCTCTGCGTGTTGGTGTCTCTGACTCTGTCCACGCGCCCGCCCCCGCCCCGCAGACGTGTCCCGGGCGGTGGAGCTCCTCGAGCGGCTCCAGCGCAGCGGGGAGCTGCCCCCGCAGAAGCTGCAGGCCCTCCAACGAGTCCTGCAGAGCCGCTTCTGCTCAGCCATCCGCGAGGTGAGCGCCGCGCGGCGCCGGGCGCAAGTAGGCGGCTGCCGGTGCTCTTCCTGGTGGCCCCGAGGCCCGGGACTACACCTCCCAGCAACGCCCGGGGCGGCCTGCCTCGGGGTGCCCGTGCGTCAGCTCCGGGGTTCCTTGGGAGTTGTAGTTTCCGCCCGCTCCAGGTGTGGGGTGGGTGGGAGGGGCCAGGCCTGGACTCCTGGGTTGAGAGGAGGGAGCTGGCAGGTCCCTGATGTTGCTGCGTCCTCACAGGTGTACGAGCAGCTCTACGACACGCTGGACATCACCGGCAGCGCCGAGATCCGGGCCCACGCCACGGCCAAGGTAGGCGCCCTCCACCCATCACTCACAGCATCCACGGAACTTCCTAATGCCACTCATTCCTGGCTTCGCCTTCATGATTTTTGCCAAATCTCTGTACCACCCTTACTATTACTTATTTCGAATTTAAGTAATCTCTCATTTTATTTTATTTACTTTTTAAATGTATTTTATTGATTTTTTACAGAGAAGAAGGGAGAGGGATAGTTAGAAACATCGATGAGAGAGAAACATCCATCAGCTGCCTCCTGCACACCCCCCCCTACTGGGGATGTGCCCGCAACCAAGGTACAGGCCCTTGACTGGAATCGAACCCGGGACCCTTCAGTCCTCAGGCCGATGCTCTATCCACTGAGCCAAACCGGTTAGGGCAGTAATCTCTCATTTTAAACTTAAATGTCATGAAAGGCATCTTTATCTACTACACATTGAGACTGGTACCGAATGCCTGACTAGAAGATAACCTTAAACAACGATCCAGTGAAAACAAGAAAATATCAGTAAACACTGAAATCTGATTACATTATAGTTAGATGCTATTCTTGCTGCTTCCCAGAGGCTCTCAGCTTCTTCCAGGCCTTGTTTTTCTCTGTTAAAAAGTGAGATTGGCAAGTACTGAGTCTTCAAGATACATTCGCACCAAATGGAGACTTTCTCTTTGACATGTCTGAACCATCAAAGTGAACCAACAGGGACATGCAGTCATGATGAAATCGTCTTTTGAATGGTGGCCGGCCCCTAGTACTTGGGGGAAAAGTTCTCTGGCCTCAATAGCTCTCCCGGCCCAGATCCTCCACCCTCGTCCGCCTGTCCACGACGACGGGGAGGCCCTCACCTCCCCATGCCTCCTCTCTCCCAGGCCACAGTTGCTGCCTTCACCGCCAGTGAGGGGCACGCGCATCCCAGGGTAGTGGAGCTGCCCAAGACGGAGGAGGGCCTGGGCTTCAACATCATGGGGGGCAAGGAGCAGAACTCGCCCATCTATATCTCCCGTGTCATTCCTGGGGGTGTGGCTGACCGCCACGGAGGCCTCAAGCGTGGGGACCAGCTGCTGTCGGTGAATGGTGTGGTGAGTAGGAGGCTGGGGCAGCGCTAGGGTCAAAGTCTGTCCTTGTTTTTGACATTTCTTCATCACACACTGACGGAGCGCTGCCCCTATATCCGGCCAAGTGCAGGCACTGCTGCAGACCCTGAGGAAAATTGGCTTCAGCTCTTACCTTCAAGAACTCCCTCTCTGATGAGGGAGATAGACCCTGAGTGAAACAGCCCCAATCAGGGAGATAACCATGAGGAAGCACAAAGCCCTGTGATGGAGCACCAGACCAGGGCGGATGAAAGGAGTTTTTGCAGAGGAAGGGACATTTGAGTTGGGGTTTGAAGGATGCGTAGGAGTTCTCCAGGCAAATAAGGTAGAGAAGGTGTTACTGGCTGAGGTTGTGGTAGGTAGGGACTGTGACTGACGTTCCTGTGAGATAAAGAGAAAGAGCTTGGTTCGGATGGAGGGCTGGGCATGCAGGTAATTAAAATCGCTAGCTTTTCGAGTAGATGGGGGCATAACTAGATGGGTGGTTGGGGCCAGCCTGGTTGGGCCTGTGTGCCAGCCTAGAAAGCTGGGACTTTTTCTCAAGGGTTCTGGGGAGCCATGGGAGGGCTGTGTGGAGGGGAGGGGAGGGGAGGGGAGGCTTGGAGGAGTAGAAAGATTCCTGTGGGACTTTGTGGGGAAGGACTGAGGAGAGAGACTGGAGGCCAGAAGGTCAGGGAGGGGACTAGAGTAAGTCCACTGTGGAGGGGACCAAGCCTCAGCTGTGGCCAGGGTGGTGGGGACAAAGAAGAGGGAGTCAGGGCAGGAGGCATGGGGCCGGTTAGCAGGCCTGTGGGGAGGGAGGGGATAAAGATGGTCCTGGAGGTCAGGCTCGGTGACCAAGGGCATATGGGGCTTGTCTCTGACATGAGGAACCTGGAAAACTTGGGGGGTGGACACCGAGCCAAGAGTTACTGACTCTCCCATGAGGGGATGAGGTTTTGGCACCTCAAGGGCTGGTCGCAGGTCACTAACAGTTGGACCTGTTTCCGGGGTGGGGGTGGGGTGAGAGGGGTGGGCCCCCGGCCCAGCTGTCTGCGCCCTTTCCCGCAGAGCGTGGAGGGTGAGCAGCATGAGAAGGCCGTGGAGCTGCTGAAGGCGGCCCAGGGCTCGGTGAAGCTGGTGGTGCGTTACACACCCCGCGTGCTGGAGGAGATGGAGGCCCGCTTTGAGAAGATGCGCTCTGCCCGCCGGCGCCAGCAGCACCAGAGCTACTCGTGAGCCCTTTGCCGCCATTCCCCGGGGGTCTCCACGGCCTCCCTCATCCCCAGACTCCCAATGATTCCTGGACCCTTGGGTGCCACCCCCCGGCCATGGGTCCTCTCCTGGGGTTCTGACCCTGACTCAGACTCTCCTCGCCCCCTGCCATTCTGGCTAAAACCCCGGGGGACCCTTCGCTGACTCCCATTCCAAGATCTGGACCTACCCTCCCTGGGATTCCTCCACCCACTTCCCTCGGTCCCGGTTCTGGAACCCCAGCCCTGGCTCTTACCCATCCCCTCCCTGGGCCCCTTACCCTGAGCCTGGCTCCCTTCTCTTCACCCTCCTCGCAGGTCCTTGGAGTCCTGAGGCTGCAACCACAGACCTGGACCCTCCCGCTCTCCCTCCCCCTGTACAGTATTTATTGTCACCGGCTCCGTATTTAAAGATCTTTGCTCCTCACTGAGTGTTTGTGTGTCTGTCCTGCATCCCGGGGCTGGAGGGTCTCCCTTGAGAGGTGGGGGAGGGAAAGAAGCTGATGTTGAGACCAGGCCCTGAAGAAGCCGGGGTACAGCATTCCCCCCCCCCCAGGTCTGAAGGTGGGCAGCTTCCTAAGGGCCACGACCAAGGGTGGAGACTGGGACCCCAGACTGCGAGCTCAGACCTGAAGACAACGCCCGCCCCCCACTACCCTTCAGAGAGTCTGCGGGCGAAGGCCGAACCCCTTCGGTAGCTGGTCCGACCCACGAGTGCTGACACGCTGCGGGGAGCCAGTGGGTGTCCTGCGTGTGGGCGGGGCGGAGCGAACCATTAACCTTGTCCGCCGGGGGAGCCCGGCGTGGGAGGCGGGGTGGGGGTGCCGCGTGCAGCACCCGAGGCGGGCGCGGCGGGCGCCGGGATTGCAGAGTAAGGTGTGCACTGGCCGACCCGGCGTTCACCCCACCCTGCCACCCAAACGCGTCTCCGGGAGCCGCCCCCACCTTCAAACACAACCTTCGCTCCCACCTCGCCGCCCGCCCACCCCTCCTGTCTCGTGCGGCGCGAGGGCCGGCGCGCGCCGCCGCCGGGATCCGGCCGGGGTCGCGACTCGCGTTCCACGCCGCACGCCACTCGCTCCAGGTGACATCATCTCCCTGCCGGGCCCCGCCTCCCGCCCCAGCTGCCTCACGCCGCACGCCTATTGGCTGACATGTCTCGAGCCCCGCCTCCCGCTCTCCGCCCGCGCGACCCCTCCCGGCCCGTGCGGAGGCGGGGTTTAGCCTCCTGCCGGTGCCGACGCTGCTTCCCATTGGCCACTCAGAGCCGTCTGTCAGTCTCCTGTTAAAGGGGCCACGACCGCCCGGGAGCTGTTGGGGGGGAGGGAGGAGGGAATTTTTTTGGGGGGGAAGGTGGGATTTTGGGGGCGCTGGTGGGCACCCCTGAATCTGGCGGCTGCGGCCTCGCGGGGGGAGGCTGAACGGTGACAGGGTTAGGGGACTATTTTAGGGGGTAGAGGGCTGTAAGACTGTGAGAGGGAGTGGGGTCCCCAGCGCCCAAAGCCGGAGCAAGAGACGCGGAGCCGGCGCGAGCGGCGGAAGACGGGGTTCCAGAGCTACAGATCCGGGCCCCGGCCGCCGCCAGGGGCCCCCGCCCCGGTCCCCCCACCCCACCCCACGTCCCTCCTGCAGCCCAGCTCCGCCCGCAGCCCGCCGCGGACCAGGTAAGGTAAGAGCCCGGCCCTGCCAGGCAGCGCCCACCCCCGGGGACCCCTTCGCCTAGTTTTTCCCCGCCTCCCCCGAGAATCCTGGGATTCCCCTTCTTCATCCCCCGGGGAACCCCAGAGCCCAGATTTGCACAGCCCCAGCCCCCAGAGAGTCAGGGTGGTGCCCCCTTCCCGGTTCTCAGAATCCCCCGGCCAAAACCCCTAAGAATCCCAGGGAAGACCGGCCGGCCTGGCGCCCTCCTTCCAGGGCCCAGGAAGCCTGGGATCTCAGGCTCAGCCCCTGGGAAACCCCTCCGGGTTCTAGGTCCTCCTTCCTTCGGCCCAGGTCCCGAGGAGCCCCCGGACACCCCGCCGGCGGGCGGTGTCACACTTCTCCGGGCGAAGGGCCCGCCCGTCCCCCGGGTCGCGGCCGCTTGGGTGCCCCCTTTT